TAGATAGAGGCAAAGAAGGGTAACAAGAAGTAGAAAAAGCAGAAAGAGCAACAGCAGAGAGGGGTCAAGAACCTGGAGGAACAGATAGGAGCTTTCAGTTACTTAATCTCTTCCTCTGGTTTCTTAATTCATTCTTTGTGGCTGCCCACTTCATTCCTTCTTTCATTTCCTGAGATCCAGAGATACCAATAATCCTTTAGAGTGGGGTTTTTCTGAGAATTCCTGTAAATACCTCAGTTTGTCTACTTCAAATGAGCCTTCTTTTGACCATCGCAAAGCAGGATTTTTGTAAGTACACTTATGCCAAATGTGAGAGAATAAAAGAAGCCTTTTATTTTTAAAAAAGAGACCTACTGACAATATTCTAGGCATCTCATATTCTTCTACTGTTAAAGATGAATCAGATGGGACCTTCAGTGAGTTACCCATTTTGCTCAATTATAACTTGGAATTTGCAGAGAGGCTTTGGAATTTTCCCTGGGAACCGAATCCCACTCAGCCAAAGTAGTCAGAGGGACACTTTTTGGCAAACATTCAGAGTTCTTACCTAATCACGGGTGACCACAAATCCTCCAACAAATTCACCCAGCAAAAGGACTCACTTGAGATATACCAATCTTCTTTATTGCCAAATTGTTGGGATAAAAAAGTAATCAAGGCCCAAAGGAACATGCTAATTCATAAATGTAGAATTAACTAATTTTGTTACTGAGCAGAAAACCCCTGCGTCCCTGCAGACCACCCATAAGTGGCTACAGAGCTATGATGAATGTCCTCTATTTATATGGAATTAAAGCTACGGTCCTTTTTTAGTAAATAGTCAACAGATAGTTCATTTGCATCAGTAGCTACATGGCACTTACTCTGACATCCTGTTTTTCATCATTCCTTATCTGGCTCACTCTGATTTTGTAATTCTTTATCAGTACCTCCTCCAGTTGTCCCTTATATTGTATCTAGCATGTATGATGAGTCACATCCTTCATCATGCGTCAGTAAGGTTAGATTAAGTTCAGTCTCCCAAAACCTCTCCTAGCGTGACAAGCCCCATCTGCGGGTTTGAGCCACCAGGTAATTGTCTGCTCAGGCTTAAGTTATTATACTACGAATGATTCTAGATCTTGATGCCTGACACGGACTTCCAAGACAACCGTAGCCATTCTGGAGATTTCTCTGTTAGCATTCATTTTGGGGCCTGATCAGGGGAATACTGGCTGGGAAAGTCCTGGTAACTCAGGGACCCACCCTGCTCATCCCCACTTACCTGCCTTTCCCTCGCCGTTTAAAAGATAAGAACAGTAGCTTGTCCCCAAGTGCCATCTAAGGCTGGGGGGAGGATGAAAGGCAGCTGCCAATTGTATTGAATCTAATTTTGAGTTCCTGTGAGGTTTTACTGTACCTGGATACAGAGCTACTGTGTTTTAGAGAAAGTACGCCTTTCGCTTTATGGAAGTATTGCCAAATTGCTCTCCCAAATAGTTATACCAATTTACACTCCCACCTGTGATGTATGAGTTCCTACTTTCACACATTCTTGGCAACATCTGGTGTTTGCAGACTTTATTTTTACCAATCTGATGGGTGTGAAGTAGTGTCTCATTTTGGCTTTAATTTGCATTTCTTTACTATTGAACATCTTTTCCTATGTTCATTGGTCATTTGAGTTTCCTCTTCTGTGAATTGATTGTTCATATCTTTTGCCTTAAAAAACAACTGGCTACCTCTTTTAATATATGAGAGTACTTTATATTCTGAGTACTAACCTTTTGATTGGTTTTACATGTTGCAAATCTCTTCTCCAAAGCTATGACCGGTTTTTTTTTTGTTTTTTTTTTTTATCATGGAGTCTTTTATATAAAGAACTTTCATGTGCTCCAATATATCTATTTTTCTTAATAGCATGTAGTTCTATGTCTTGTTTAAGAAGTATTTTCCTATCCTGATGTGAATGTCTCTGGTAATTTCTTCTAAAACTTTTATAATTTTTCTTTTCATATTTAAATATTTGATCTATCAACAATTTATTTTTTGTATATGGTGTGAGATTAAAATGCAGTTTTATTTTTTCCATAGGAATAACCAGTTGCCCTAGTACCATTTGCTAAATAGTTCATCTTTTCCTCATTGATTTATAATGTCACCTTATTGCTGGCCTTTTGTTTTTCTGTATTAATTTTAAGATTAGCCTCTCAAGTTCTGTGAAAAAAACCTTTGGAGAATTTGATTGGAATTGCAACATACAGATAAATTTGAAATCACTTGCCATCTTTATTAATCAAATCTTACTGTCCATAAAAATAATATATTGTTCTTTTATTTAAGTCTTCCCTTATGCCCTTTAATATAGGTTTTCAATTTTCAGTTTATCTATAAAGCTCTTGCATGTCTTTTTTTTAAAGTTTGGTATGGCTTTTATTACATTACAAATTGGATCTTTTTAAATTAAAATTGTACATTGGTTTTGCTGCTATAGCAACACTAATTTTTTAACAAGACGTTATATCTGCAATGTAATAACATTGTGGTGGAAGAGTGTATCGTATGTATGGTACAGATTCCTACTATCTGTTGAAATCTGTTCTATGACCTAGTACATAGCCAATTAATTATTTATAAAGTTTTCATATTTTTAAAAATATTTTTTTCTCTTTAGTTTTGTGCAGAATTTGTATATGTCCATTAGATCAAGCTTGTAATTGATTATTCCAATTATCTATATCCTTATTCAATGTTTTCTTCTTCTGTCAATTAGTATGGTTGTGGATTTTTTTCATTTCGTCTAGTAATACTGTGATCTTTTGTGTTACTAATTTGGAGATGAGTTTAGAATGACTATAGCTTCCTATTAACTATTACATGATAACTTTTCTGCTCCTAATAATGGCTTTTGCCATAGAATATATTTCTTGGTATTCATAGAGCTGTGCCAGTTTTCTTTTGGTTCATGGTATGCCTAGCATAGCAATTAGGGATGTTTTCAGCTGCAGACAACAGAAAACTTGACCACAGTTTCTTAAACACGTGGAGGATTATGTTTTTCTCAACAAGATGGAGATATTTACCATTAACGGTGTGCCGTTTTTCATCCTCGTCCTTGTTTTTTCCCTGTGAGTCTTTGTGGAGAGGGAGGATAATGAAACAACCTTTAATATCAGAATGGCATAGTACAGTATCCTGTTTTATCATCTATAGAATCTTTATCCCATAATTGTAAATGGTTCGCTGTTTACACACATTTTATGAAAGTAAAAGTTATTTAATTAGGAGATAGAATTTCCTATTTCTAGAGTAAATGTGACAGTTATCCTTACCAAATGAAATTACCAGGAAGAAATGTTTATGCAGGCCTGTCGTTAGAGCCAGAAGCAATTAAATGCTCAACTCTCAGTAAACCAAGTATCATTAGTTTACTGGCAAAGCTTATTACAGTAGATTTCAGACAAGATCCAGTGCATTCAGGGTGGTGTGGCCGTAGACACAATGCAATAGATTTCAAAGCATTAATGCAAAGTAAAATTATAGTGAGGTTTTAGCAAGCTGACTTTTTGCATCTAGGAATACTTGGTACATGTGTTCTCTCTAGAGATACCATTTTCTACAGTTTTTCTGAAGACTGATTTCATTATTTCAGTATTTTCCATGAAACCTAATATCGCTTGGTACCTTTTGCTGGAGCATTCACCAGGCTATCAGGTCATCCTTCTTACCTATAAAATGACCTCCAAATTTCCCTTTCCTTATCCCATTCCCTGAAACTTAGTGCATCTGATTTCCCATCTAATCATGCTGACCATTAGGACAGGACTATGGAACCAGGTATTGTCTCTTGTTTGTATTTGGAGCCTTCAACATCTACAAAGCAAGTTAGTCTATTTCTGGTTTTTACTAAAAATGATTAACCATATGTTAGATGGTACTAGGGTTTCCCAGGGAACCCTAGAACAAAATATGAATATGCCTAATGTTTAGTTTCTGCTAAAAGTTAATAAAGCATTTACCTACATTATTTCATTCAGCCCTCCTTAGTCCTAAGAAGAAAAAATATCTCCGTTATAGATAACAAATAGAGCCTTCACACTATAAAAGAACATAATTATTGCATTCAAAGCAGGAGACTTTTTCTTCAAAAACATTGGAATTAGTATTTTTTTTGAATTAGTAGGTTAAAGTGTACAAGTAGAGCCTGGTACTAGGTAAATACTTACTGAATGACTACACTCTTAGTTGGGCATTTTCTTTTAGGCACTAAAGCTGCTAATCCAATTTTGAATGCCGTTTTGTCATCATTTATCCTTGTCCAACACAATATAGTTGAACAGAAACTAGGTGTCTTTTTACTGCAGTGTGTGCAAAGTGTTTCTCCTATGAAATTAAGCATTGTGAACATGTTTTTCCTTTCAGTGAGTGTGTAGTATGTTGTTTTACATTGGTCACCTAATAAAGTTTGTGCATTACTCAGTCATTGAGTATTGAAATATACACTAAGAACTTTTGAGAAAGAAGAGTTTTTAGAAACTCGTAACTATTTACTTATGAGTTTTTACAGATTTTTTTACAGTTTTTTACAGATTTTTCAGATTTTTTTACAGATGATTTTTACCACTGTTTTTACAGATTTTTTTTTCTGTATTGTGAGTTCTTGACATTTGACTGAAATTCTTTTTGCTGTGGTTGAAAGAAGCCCTTTCTGTTTTCTTTATTCTGATCAAAAACAGCTTGTGTCTTTCTGACTAGTTAACCTTCACAACTTTACCTTTGAAAACTCACTTTTGTTTCTTCTCTGGAAAATAATCATCCCAATTTTCTTTTGTGTCTTTCCTCACAGATCTTGATTTTTCAACTTAGTTATCTTGATGTGTCTCTGAGCTATAAACTCCATTTTAAATCTGACATCTCTTATTACTGTTGTAATTATGTAATAATTGCTGTTTATAAACTTGAATTAATTTACTTAAATTTAGGTTTTATTGTGTTTTAAGTGTTCTGTAATAATCTTTCAGCCATGGAAACAAAGAAGTATTTTCCTGCAGAGGAATAAAATTGGCAGTGGATTGGTTTTTGGAAAGAGGCCACAAAGATATTACAGTTTTTGTTCCTGCGTGGAGGAAAGAGCAATCCCGACCTGATGCTCTCATTACAGGTAGGCTTATTCCAGGTGACTGCTTGTTCCTCGCTTTCCTGTAATTCCCATGCAGTGTCTGGCACTGTCAGGTATCCTAAATCCGTTTCGCTTACTCAATGTATGCAGTGGGACACTAACGTTGGTTTTTGTTGTTGTTGTTTTCTGAGATGGAGTCACACACGGTCACCCAGGCTGGAGTACAGTGGTGCAATCTTGGCTCACTGCAACCTCCACCTCCCAGGTTCAAGCGATTCTCATGCCTCAACCTGCCAAGTAGCTGGGACCACAGGCACGCACCACCACACCCAGCTAATTTTTGTATTTTTAGTAGAGACAGGGTTTCACCCTGTTGGCCAGGCTGGTCTCAAACTCCTGACCTCAACTAATCTGCCCACCTGTATGAGTTTCAGGCAATGATGTCCTCTATAACTGTTCACTCCCAAAGTGCTGGGATTACAGGCATGAGCTACCATGCCTGTCCTGGTTTTGAGTTTGAAAACTATCTGGTTTTATTAATTAAACATTAATCATCACTACATAAGCCAGGTGTTTTTGTCTTTACTTTTGTGGAAATTCTGACTTCAGATTTTGGGAAATTCTGACCTTTAGAGAGATGCCAGAAGTCACAAGATCTGGATCCAAATTCTGGCTTTGCTGTTCACTAGCTATGAAGACCTTGAGCCACACAATGAACCCTTTTGGGCCCCAGTTTTCTCATGTGCTATTGTGACATTAGGTGGCGGTCAGATTCTAATAACAACAGTTCCAAAAAGACATGTAAGACCATAAGATGTGCTTCAGTCCAGTAGAAAGAAATGTATTTTGCATTATGTTGTAGTGTTTAAATGTCTGAGTTTCAGGCGATGATATCCTCTATAACTGTTCATTACTGTTGTTGAACATTTTGCCCAATTGCAGTGATTTACAATCAACCTCCAACCTTTCTTGTCCTTCTCTCCACATCTAGTATTGACAAAAACTGAGGCACCTGTGTAAAGAAAACTGTAAAACATTTTAAATAAAAAACAAATAAAGGGACCACCTAATATATACCCAAAGGGTATGATTAAGATTTAATTTTCGGCCACACACAGTGGCTCATGCTTGTAATCCCAGCACTTTGGGAGGCTGAGGCAGGCGTATCAGTTGAGCTCAGTAGTTCGAGACCAGCCTGGGCAACATGGTGAAACCCTGTTTCTACCAAAAATCCAAAAAATATTAGCCGGGTGTGGTGGTGTGTGCTATGGTCCCAGCTACCCGAGAGGCTGAAGTGGGAGAATCACTTGAGCCCTGGAGGCGGAAGTTGCAGTGAGCTGAGATCGTGCCACTGCACTCCCACCTGGGTGACACAGTGAGACCCCATCTCAAAAAAAAAAAATAAGACTTAATTTTTATGTGTAATTATTATGTCATTGTTAAATTAATGTAAGAATGAATAGGCAAGTCATGGTAGAGTCCAGAGCGTGGAACCAGACCCTAGCCTATGTGTATAAACGTAAAGCAGAGAGGTCATAATTCAACCAGCAGTACCAAATATTGGATAACCCTTTGGGAAAAGTGTACTTGTTTAGACCCTTATCTTACACCATATAACAATAAATTCCAGATGATTGAAGACTTAATTGTCAAAAATCAAACCATCAGAGACCAAAAGAATTTTCTAAATTTAAAACTTTTAGAAGAAATTACTAAGGAAAAGAGAGATAAAATTATATCAAAATTAAAGCTCCTGCATTTTGAGGAACTTTCTTAAAAATGATAATCGACCAGTTGCCTAAGGAAAAAAAATCCAACAAAGAATCATGTCCTTAATACAAAGAGCTCATACAGATTGATTAAAAAAACAAACAAACTTCTTTCCGGTATATAAGCATCAAAAGGCTACGAATAGACAGCTCCCAAAATGCAGGCACTAAATAAGAAGAAAAATAGTTCAACCCAATTAGTAATTAAATAAATGCAAATCTAAACAATGTTATTTTTACCCAACAAATTAGCAGAGATGGCCAGACGCAGAGGCTCACGCCTGTAATCGCAACACTTTGAGAGGCCAAGGCGGATGGATCACTTGAGGTCAGGAGTTCAAGACCAGCCTGGCCAACATGGTGAAACCCTGTCTCCACTAAAAACACAAAAAATTAGCCAGGCCTGGTGGCAGGCACCTGTAATCCCAGCTATTAGGGAGGCTGAGACAGGAGAATCGCTTGAACCCAGGAAGTGGGGGTTGCAGTGAGCTGAGATCACACCATCACACTCCAGCCTGGACAACTGAACAAGACTCTATCTCAAAAAAAAAAAAAAAAAAAAAAATTAGCAGAAAGTAAAAATCTGATAACACTCATTTCCCTGAAGCAGTTACTCATAGGCTGCTGTGGAAATTGTTGCAACCTGTCAAGAAAGTAGTTGGTCTTAAAATATTAATATTCTTGGATCTACTAGTTCACCTTCTAAGAATAAGTTCCAAGAAAATAAGCAGAAGTACAGACAAATATTTATGACTAAAGACATCCCATGCAGTATTATTATTTAGAATAGAAAAAAAAAAAAAGTGTTCATTCATTAGAAGAATGGTTCAATCAATTAGGATGTATCAATATGATAGAATATGCATTAGAATGTTCAGGCAGAATTTTTAATGATCTGCGGAAATGCTGTTTTACATAAAAGGCAGATTTTATTTTATAGACAGACACACAGACAGGCATACATATATATATACACACACACATATATCAACAATGGAAAGAACAAAATACACAGAAAATGATGAGAAGGAAGTATACCAAACTGTTAACAGTAATTGCCTCTTGGTTGCAACTTTGTGAGGTCTTTATTTCTCCCTGCTTCTTAGTACTTGTTCTTACCTGTCTAATTTTCTACAGGGAACCTAACAATGTTTTGATAATGGGGGAAGGGATAAAGTAAACTAAAAAAAGAAAAACAATATTTAAGCATGTAAATGACTTTAAAGCTTCCTGAACATGAAAGGAATATGAAAGCAAGAAGAAGAGAAAATGATAGTACACTGTGTCTAAGTTTAGTTTTAAAAATACCAGCATGCCAGTCCCTGGAACACATCAGTATGCAGACTGCTTTGTAAAATGCCAAACTAATGTCAGAGGCTTTTAGGTGTTATAATCCCAGGGTAATAATTCTCTTGACTAAATCCCTCAACCAGATAATACCTGGTAAATTGAGTAGCCCAATACTCTTTCACTGCACCAAAAAAAGATACTTGATAAGAAATATTTTCAAGTTGTCAGCATCATAGATTCAGATTAGCACTTTTGCCAATCTTCCATTCATTTATCAAATATTTAACAAGCACTAGCTGTGTATCAAGTGCTATGCTAAGAACTAGAAATTCAGTTAACTTTCCAGTTTTACTGAACCCATATTACTTAGGTCAGGATTATTTATGTCATCCTAATTAATGTCCTTCTAACCTCATTAACAATTAAAGAAATGCAAATTAAGCATGATGACTGTGAGGCCACCGAACTTAATCTACAACTCACTTTGGTGAGGATCAAGACATGGCATAGATGAGTAAACATCCTCGCAAATAATAAAATGCCATAGATTACTCATGAATGTAAGACTATGAATGAACTGAAAGACTTCAGAGTATATCGGTTTAAGTAACTCATTTATTCACTCCACAGACAGTCACTGAACATCTACTGGTATGCCTCATGGGCTGGGTGCTGATGGATACAAAGATAAATGACATATGGCACCTGCCCTCAAAATGCTTATCAGGTTAACACACAAAACTATAATATGACAACTCCTATAATTGAGACGGGGCACTCGATTTTGCATTGATATTCTTTCGTTTCTAAAAGAGATCAACAGTAGGCCGGCCCAGTGGCTCACACCTATAATCCCAGCACCTTGGGAGGCCCAAGCGGGTGGATCACGAGGTCAGGAGTTCGAGACCACCCTGGCCAATATGGTGAAACCCTATCTCTACTAAAATTACAAAACTTAGCTGGGCATGGTGGCACGCGCTTGTAGTCCCAGCTACTCAGGAGGCTGAGGCAGAAGAATCGCTTGAACCTGGGAGGTGGAGGTTGTAGTGAGCTGAGATCGCACCGGTGCACTCCAGCCTGGGAGACGGAGCAAGATTCCGTCTCAAAAAAAAAAAAAGAGATCGGCGATCGGCAGTTACATCTATTAAACAAAATTAAGTTGAAGAGCACAGTGTTTATTGAGAGCTTGCCAGGCACTGTGCTAGCTGCTTTGCCGTAAGTTAACTCATGTACTTCTCATAGTTTATCAACTGCATTTGACAACATGGAGAAACAGGCTCAACAAGATTGTGATTGTCTGATGTGGAAAGTGGCAGAACCTGAGATTTGTCCATGGTTTGCTGATGCCCACATTTTTTCCACTCATACAAAGGTCTGGCCTTTTTTTTTTTTTTTTTTTTTTTTTTTTTTTTGAGACAGAGTCTCACTCTGTTGCCCAGGCTGGAGAGCAGTGGCATGATCTCAGCTCACTGCAACTGCAACCTTTACTTCCCAGGGTTCAAGCAATTCTCCTGCCTCTGTTTCTCGGGTAGCTGGGATTACAGGTGTGCACCATCACGCTCATCTAATTTTTGTATTTTTCGTAAAGACAGGGTTTTGCTGTGTTGACCAGGCTGGTCTTGAACTCCTGAGCTCAAGCAGTCTGCCTGCCTCAGCCTCCTAAATGTCTGGTCTTAATGAATTCTTCTGTCAGGAGCATCATCAATCTGTATGCCAGGATTAGAGCTGACCCACGTCACTCTTCCATCCGTACCCAACTCACACTTCTGCTGTGGCAATTACAACTCTTGCTTACCTGGCTTATGTGTCTGTCCAGTGCGTAAGACTGAGGCTCCTTTGGAGAGGTCATTTTCAGTCTTGATGGCTGTTAACACCTAGCACAATACCAGGAAGGTATTAATCATCTGTTGCGGAGATGGATTGAAAAAAACTTAGTAAGTCCAGTTAATAAGCCTTGAGAAGTAGTGAGCTTTAAAAAAAAAAAAAAAATCCTGACATCTGTAGGTTTGTGCCCCGCACTCTGTGCCAGAATTTACAATGGTGGGAAAATGGGGGACAGAGGAGCAAACGTAGAAGGAAAGGATGGTTGAAAGAGAATTGTTATCATTGATCAACATATGAACTTTCGTACACTTTTTTAAATCACAAAACAAGTCAATAGAGTTACAAAGTGCCACAAGAGTATGCCAACCAGCCGGGCGCGGTGGCTCACTCCTGTAATCCCAGCACTTTGGGAGACTGAGGCGGGTGGATTACCTGAGGTCAGGAGTTCAAGACCAGCCTGGCCAACATGGTGAAACCCCGTCTCTACTAAAAATACAAAAATTAGCCGGGCATGGTGACAGGTGCCTGTAATCCCAGCTACTCAGAAGGCTGAGGCACAAGAATCACTTGAACTGGGGAGATGGAGGTTGCAGCGAGCCAAGATCATACCACTGCACTCCAGCCTGGGCGATAGAGCAAAACTCAGTCACACAAAAAAAGACTATGCCAACCACAGACAAAGTGAGCATCTCTCTATCCGGCCTTTTCTAATCAACAGATGCTTTCTCCACATAATCACTTCTTACTTCTTACTCAGTTCGACCCCCACGAGAATGCTGGCATTCGTTACCCTGTCTTACAGAAAGGCCATGAAGCATATCATAGCCATGTTCATAACAACACTTGTGACCTCACTGCCTCCTCTCTCTTTGAACTTTCTGCATTTAAAGGTTTTTCCCTTTGCTACCTCGACAACTTCTGCTTCCTTTCATACTCTCCCACTAGTTGGAAGAAAACAACTACAAAATACGCGAACAAACTGAGGAGGAAAAAAATGTATTGCTCATACCTGAACCCCACACAACATACAGCTGCTCCGTTAGAACGGTGTTCAAGTAGGAACGTGGAAGAAGCTGTGTCCATAGTGGTCGTGCTGATGGCTCCAGCTCTTAAGCAAAAGCTTCACATAATGACAGAATTTGCCCAGTCATGTTTCAATTTTACACTGTTCATATTTTTTAACTATTTTTAAAGCCTTTATTATTAAAATTCCTGAAGGAAAAATACTGTTGAGAGTTGGAAATTATGTTGTATCTACAAATTAAATCATAATCCCTAATTAAAGGACTACATATATACAGCTAATGTTTTAGAATTTCACATTGTATGAAAGTTGCCATGTGTGTTATCTGTGTATTTCCTTTCTGAAATCCTACCATCATTATTCTTGCAGATCAGGAAATTTTACGTAAGTTAGAAAAGGAGAAAATCCTGGTGTTCACGCCATCCCGGCGAGTCCAGGGGAGGAGAGTGGTGTGCTATGATGACAGGTTCATCGTGAAGCTGGCTTTTGAGTCGGATGGTATCATTGTGTCCAATGATAACTACAGGGATTTGGCTAACGAGAAACCAGAATGGAAGAAGTTCATAGATGAACGATTATTAATGTATTCATTTGTCAATGACAAGTAAGTAAAACCATTTACTTGCCAATGATATTGCTTCTGTGAAAATATAACTATCCCTGGTAGCTGCTACAGAATTCTCTTTTTGCCACTGTCCAGACCTCAAACAGGTTTCTAACAACTGATCTCCCCACTGTTCCTCAGTGGGAGTCAGGAAAACTGCAGAATCATTGCCACAGGAGGCCCGGTGTGAGTGGCAGGCCCCACCTTTCCCTGTAAGTCACTCACAGAACACCTAAGGTAGAGGAAGTCTTCTAAGACTCTGTCTGAAGAACCTGAGGAAACAGACACAGGGGGAATTCCCATCTTCACCCTCAAAGGACTGCCTTTTAAAATCAATGTAGAGCATTGATAGCTTACTCAATAAGCCATGCTTGGCTTAACAACAGGGATATGTTCTGAGAAGTTCGTCCTCAGGCGATTTTGTCATGGGTGTGAACATCATAGAGTGTACTTACACAAACCTAGCTGGTCCAGCCTACCACACGCCTAGGCGATATGATACATACAGCCTGTTGCTCCCAGGCTACCTTTTATAGCATGCTAGTGTACTGAATACTGTAGGCAATTGTAATACAGTGGTACGATATGTTTGTATATCTAAACATACCTCAACACTGAAGAGGTATATTTACCACAAAATATGCTATAAAAGATTTCTAAATGGTATGTCTCTGTAGGGCACTTAACCATGAGTGGAGCTTGCAGGACGGGAAGTTGTCCTGAGTGAGTCAGTGAGTGTATGGTGAGTGAATGTGAAGGGCTGGGACATTACCATAAACCACTGTAGACTTTGTAAACACCGTATACTTAGGCTATGCCAAATTTGTCAAAAAATACTTTTTTTTCAATAATGCATTAACCTGGGCTTATAACTTTTTTACTATTAATATATAAACTTCTTAGTTTTTAAAACGTTTTTCTCTTTTGTAATAACACTTAGCTTAAAACATTGTACAGCTGTACCAAAACATTTTCTTTATAGCCTTATTCTATATGCTCTTTTCTATTTTTAGTTTTTTCTTTCTTTTTAAAGTTTTTGTTAAAAACTAAGACACAAACACATTACCCTAGGCCTACACAGGGTCAGGAGCATCAGAATCACTGTCCTCCACCTCCACATATTGTTCCTCTGGAAGGTCTCCCGTACTGTGCGTGGAGCTGTCATCTGCTACGGCAATGCCTTTTGAAATAACTTCCCAAAGGAACTGCATGAAGCTGTTTTACAGTTAACATTTTTTTTAGAAGTAGAAGGAATACACTCTAAAATAAAAACAAAAGGTATAATATAGTAACTACATAAACCAGTAACGTAGTTGGGGATTTTTTAGTTTTCTTTTGTTTTTTTGTTTTTTGAGACAGAGTCTTGCACTGTCGCCCAGGCTGGAGTACAGTGGCGCCATCTCGGCTTACTGCAACTTCAGCCTCCCAGGTTCAAGCAATTCTCATTCCTCAGCCTCCTGAGTAGCTGGAATTACAGGCACGCCCCATCACACCTGGCTAATTTTTGGGTTTTTTTCAGTAGAGACAAGGTTTCACCATGTTGGCCAGGCTGGTCTCAAACTCCTGGCCTCAAGCGGTGTGTCTATCTTGGCCTCCCAAAGTGCTAGGATTACAGGCGTGAGCCATCACGCACAGCCAGTAACATCGTGGTTTATCAAGTATTATGCACAGTCTGTAATAGTATGTGCTACACTTTTATACGACTGGGGGCACAGTAGCTTTGTTTGTACCAGCATCAGCATGATCACAAACACATGCGTAATGCATTATGCTATCACGTTACCAGCAACTTTTCAGCTCCACCGTCATATATGCAGTCCATTGTTGACCAAGATGTTATGCACTGCGTGACTGTACATGAATTTTTAAAGTTCTTAAACTAAGATTCTGGCCATGATGAGAGTCTAAAAGTTGATGAATGAACAAATGACATCAACAAGCATGTCTCATGAGAAGTAAATATATAGGCCGGGCGCGGTGGCTCAAGCCTGTAATCCCAGCACTTTGGGAGGCCGAGACGGGTGGATCACGAGGTCAGGAGATCGAGACCATCCTGGCTAACACGGTGAAACCCCGTCTCTACTAAAAAATGCAAAAAACTAGCCGGGCGAGGTGGTGGGCGCCTGTAGTCCCAGCTACTCGGGAGGCTGAGGCCGGAGAATGGCGTGAACCTGGGAGGCGGAGCTTGCAGTGAGCTGAGATCCGGCCACTGCGCTCCAGCCTGGGCCGCGACAGAGCGAGACTCCGTCTCAAAAAAAAAAAAAAAAAAAAAAAAAGAGAAGTAAATATATTTATAAATATGTAGAAAAAGTTCACCTCTTGTGCTAATTAGAAATGCAAATGAATCTAAAAAGAATATATTTTCTCACTCATTTAATTCACAACAATAGTTTTGTGTATGCCTCATGCTATTAAAGATGCACTGATATATTATTTGGCAGAGGTTCACAGAAGCCTCAAGAATATTGTGTTCTATCAACCCAAAAATCTCATTTCTTGGAATATATAATGAGGAATAAATAAAGACCAGATGTGTTCATTTCTGTATTATTTTTAATTGCAAGAATTCAAGGGCAACTAAATGTACAATCGAGAAATCAAATTATGATACATCTCCTACTGGAATATTATTCAGCTCTTCAGGGTTATTATGAAAAAAAGAATTATGCCAGGTGTGGTGGCTCACACCTGTAATCCTAGCACTTTGGGAGGCCAAGGCGGGTGGATCACCTGAGGCCAGGAGTTTGAGACCAGCCTGGCAAACATGGCAAAACCCCATCTCTACTAAACATCCAAAAAAAATTAGCTGGGTGTAGTGGTGGGCGCCTGTAATCCCAGCTACTTGGGAGGCTGAGACAGGAGAATTGTTTGAACCCCAGTGGGGCAGAGGTTGAGTGAGCCGAGATCATACCACTTCACTCCAGCCTGGGTGAAACAGCAAAGCTCTGTGTCAGAAAGATAAAAAGAATTATTATGAAGGCTATTAAGAAACATGGGAAGGTGTTTTATGTTCAAAAGACAAAGTGTAAAATCATATTTGTGTTTGATTAAAGCCATGCAAAATGATATGTGCACAATGAAAATGACTTCAATCTAACACAGACATGGAAAGTAATTGTATTAAGATTGTGGGATTGAGTGACTTTATCTTCTGTTTTGTAACATGTAATGTTACCGTATTGTTTTATAATATTGAACACTGTGTTTGCTAAGTGTTAATAATCAGCCATGTTGACACTCCTGCAAGGGTTCTTACATTATTCCCATTATTCACATTTTATAGGTAAATACTTGGGTTTAAGTTCAAATGGTGATATAATGAATAGCAGAATTCTTCAAGTGTAACTTCTTTTCATTATTCATGTCATAAATTCTTCTCTTCTTTATTAGTCCATCCAAAATACTAGGTTTATTTCCTTAGCATTTTTTCTATCTCAGCTGAGAAGCACATTCAAATAGGGAAGAGAATAGATCGGAGTTAGATATAATTGAATCTCGACTGTGCCATGCGACATTGGATAAAAATCACCTAATTTATCTAAACCTAAATTAGAGAAGTTTACTTGTCTGTAAAATGGAGCTGATACTTCATGGGCTCATGGTTAGGACACCATGGTGTAGTGCGTAAAGTGCCTGGCACTAACCCGTGTTCGGTAAGTTTGTACCTTCCCATTGTGTTCGAGCCCCTCCCTTCTCAGCTGCTCCGCCTCGCCCCACCTGCAGCAATCTATTTCATGAGGTCTATGTTGATGAAACTCCTAAAGTGTGACTGAAATCATTTTCTAAAACCCTTACAAAATCCTAAGACTGAGAGGAAGGAAGAATTAATAGGATATGCTCAACTCAAAACTTACTTGAATGAAAACAAATACAATTTCAGAGCTTGAAACAGTTGAATTTTCATTAAGAAATGAGAACTTCATTTACTGATTTCTTTTTTACTCTGTAAACATTGAATCAAAATGCTTGGATTAAAATTTCAAAAAAAATTCCTTATAGTGAATAAATCTTTGTCCTCTTTTTAGAATTAAATTATCAGCTTCCAACTTAGGTATCATTTTTTTATTTTCTCTGTGACAGGTTCATGCCCCCTGATGACCCTCTTGGCAGACATGGCCCCAGTCTGGATAATTTTCTGAGGAAGAAACCTATTGTTCCTGAACACAAAAAGCAGCCTTGTCCATATGGTAACTTGCTTTATGGATATTGAGTATATGCCGTTAGAACACAATATATTATTAAACTTTTGTTAATAAAAATAAACACTTAAAATTTTGGATGGCATAATATGCAGGTCTTTGGATTCCAATTAAATTTCAGAAAATGTCTTGGCCATGAAAAAGAATTATTTTTACCTGTTTGGATTCAATACAAATGCATTTCCTTATATTAAAACATGGTTCAAAAAACACTGTTAATTCTACATGAAGTTAGCTTCGAAGTGAATAAAAATTTGGAATTTTTTCATCTAGATACAAATCAGATTAGCATGGTTCTATCACCCTACAATAGTACACTGTGCTCTTCAAAACAGAATGTCCTACCTAATTATAAAGTCCTCCTGGAAGAGAAGAGGCAGGGAGGAGTTGAGGACACAGAGGTATTAGCCAAAAGTTCTGGAGGTGGCTGGACACAGTGGCTCAAACCTGTAATCCCAGTAGTTTGGGAGGCCAAGGTGGGCAGATCACATGAGGCCAGGAGTTGAGACCAGCTTGGGTAACATGGCAAAACCTTGTCTCTACTTAAAATACAAAACAATTCACCAGGCCTTGAGGGTTCACGTCTGTAATCCCAGCTACTCAAGTGGCTAAGGCATAAGAATTGCTTGAACCCAGGAGGCAGAGGTTGTGGTGAGCTGAGATCACACCACTGCCCTCCACCTGGGTGACAGAGCAAGACTCTGTCCCCCCAAAAAAAAAAAGTTCTGGAGGTGATTGTTACTCATTCGGCCAACTTCCTACTGCTCTTGATAGTAAGGAAGTGAGAAGACTGAGAAGTGACATTTCTCAAGAGTAAAGAACAAGGTGACACTTAAAACAGCTCCCATTTCTGTCGTTGTCTCTTCTACAAGTTAAAATCATAGGGCCAAACTGTGTTTTCCGGATCTGATGGTATGCTCCTTTGCCTAATTAATTTTACTCTTCTTAGGAAAGAAGTGTACCTATGGACACAAGTGCAAATATTATCATCCCGAAAGGGGCAGCCAGCCACAGCGGTCAGTGGCTGATGAACTCCGTGCCATGTCTAGAAATACGGCAGCCAAAACTGCAAACGAAGGAGGACTGGTGAAAAGCAACAGTGTTCCTTGTAGCACCAAGGCTGATAGCTCTTCTGATGTCAAACGCGGTGCTCCAAAGAGGCAATCAGATCCAAGCATAAGGACTCAAGTCTACCAAGACCTAGAAGAAAAGCTTCCCACCAAAAACAAATTGGAAACCAGGTCTGTACCTTCCTTAGTTAGCATCCCGGCTACTTCTACGGCAAAACCCCAAAGCACTACATCTTTAAGCAATGGCCTTCCATCTGGAGTTCATTTCCCACCTCAGGATCAAAGACCACAGGGACAATATCCTCCAATGATGATGGCAACCAAAAATCATGGAACGCTAATGCCTTATGAACAGTATCCAAAATGTGACTCGCCTGTCGACATTGGATATTATTCCATGTTGAATGCATACTCAAATCTGAGTCTCTCAGGCCCACGAAGCCCTGAAAGGCGTTTTTCCTTAGACACAGATTATAGAATAAGTTCCGTAGCTTCTGACTGCAGCAGTGAAGGGAGCATGAGCTGTGGGAGCAGTGACTCCTACGTGGGTTACAATGACCGGTCCTATGTCAGCTCCCCCGACCCACAGCTAGAGGAGAATTTGAAGTGTCAACACATGCACCCTCACAGCCGCCTTAATCCTCAACCCTTCCTGCAGAATTTCCACGACCCCTTAACCAGAGTGCAAAGTTACAGTCACGAAGAACCAAAGTTCCATCACAAGCCTCCTCTTCCGCACTTGGCTCTGCACCTGCAGCACCCCACTGTGGGCGCCCGGTCCAGCTGTCCCGGCGACTACCCCTCTCCTCCAAGTTCAGCACACTCTAAGGCACCACACCTAGGGAGGTCCTTGGTGGCCACGAGAATAGACAGCATCTCTGACTCTCGACTTTATGACAGTTCTCCTTCACGACAAAGAAAGCCTTATTCCCGCCAGGAAGGCCTGGGAGGCTGGGAGAGGCCGGGTTACGGGATCGACACCTATGGGTACCGACAGACTTACTCCTTGCCCGATAACTCCACGCAGCCGTGCTATGAGCAGTTCACCTTCCAGAGCCTCCCCGAGCAGCAGGAGCCGGCCTGGCGGATCCCGTACTGTGGAATGCCGCAAGATCCCCCCAGGTATCAAGACAACCGAGAAAAGATTTATATCAATTTGTGCAACATCTTCCCACCTGACCTTGTGAGAATTGTCATGAAAAGGAATCCTCACATGACAGACGCCCAGCAGCTCGCCGCAGCCATTTTAGTGGAGAAATCCCAGCTGGGTTATTGAAAGATGATGCATCTTTGTGGTGTTCAGTAGTTTTTTGTTCAGCTCAAATGCTGAGGGAGGTTTGCTACAATAGCACATGTGATCTCCTTCTCAGCAAGGAGGTTATATAGTATCCATTTATGTGAAGTACTGTATCATGGAATCTGTATGTATAGCCCCACATGGTGGAAGTATCACGGGATTGCTTTACATTTAAACTTTTTTTTAACATTTCCTTTTTAAAGCTATATCCTTGGCTGGAAATTTTTCCAGTTTGATTTAATAGATGTATCTGTGATCTTTGATATTAATCTTTGGTGCATCAGGGGTTTATATGCAGCACTTTTTATCCTTGTTTTGTGTTTTATTAACTTGGTGTTTGTCTATCAATTGCAAGCAATTACAATACCTTCAGAATGTGGGACATTTGACTAGACCTAGCAAACTGTTTTTTCGAGCCAAGCTTAATTAGACTCTTTTACAGCTTTTTAAGTTATTTTTATTTGGGGAAAGTGGGTTTCTTTGTGCTATAATCATTATTTATAGAAACAAAGATATACTACAGCACTGACTTTATATTTTAAACAAAATGTAAGTTACCAGTTTTATGTTGAAATGGGTAACAGTATATATATTAGAATGATTTACAATATGGCACTTTTCATTGTGTTATTTTTGTTTGGATTTTTTTCTGTTAAGAAATTAGTTAATTTAATATGGTTGATTTAAAAGAAAGCAGATGCAATCAATGGAAAAAATGTTTCCATTTTTTTAAATGAATAAGGCAAAAGCTGTAACTGTTACAGGTTAGAGCTTTGTTATCCAGCCGTGATGTGCTTCTAGACAGTAGAAGTGGAATTGAATTCCTAGATTTCCATTAACCTGTATTTTTAATATGTCTGTCTTTTTGTTTTGGGGCACAACAATACTGGATAAAATAACCCTTTCACAGCACTTGCCTGTTTTTAATGAATCTAATTATTCACAATGCAACTTTTATATTTAACATACTCTTTAGCTTTCCTGCTATTTATCAAGGCTGGCCTGAGGTGGGTTTATGTGTTGAGGATATGCAACATTTCTTGATACTGCACTATAGAAATGGTGATGGAGAAGTTGTAAATGGTAACTTAAAATTTTTGTAAGATATTGTATATTTTCCATTTTCCTGAAGGTAGTTTTCTTGGGGGGCCTGTTATATTATTAAGGCCAGATTCTTGCCACAAATAGTGTAGTTTTAGATACAGACTAAGGTCTGTTCTAGTATTAGTAAGGGATATTTCTGGTTTCAAAGTCATGGGTTTTGCTAGTGGTGAATACATTTCTGCGGATTAGAAGACAGATTTTGCAGCCAGTGGCAGACAGTTGAGTGACTGACATCACTTGACGGTTGCCTCCAGATTTTGAATTGTACTTTGTGTAACAGACACATTCAGATCTTTTTCTGTAGTCTGCTTAGATGCGCTGGCTATTCTGATTATTCTACATGCTACAGTTTGAAGTAAAGCCCTGAAAAACCAGAAAGTACCTTTTACTGTTGATACAAATTGTATCTTTTTAACTATAAGAACTGTTTTGATTTGTAGATCTAGTTAAAACACAAGTATGTAACTATGATTAGACTTTTGGGCAACATTTTATCCCTTATTTAAATACAAATTTTTAAAGTAAAATTGAGGTCTAGAATAGGTTAGAAAATAAAAATAACAATTTAGATAAATAAAAGTGTTTGTCTTAGTTTTATATAATATATTAAAACACATTACATAAATTTATTGGCATTTTCTTTCTCCTAAAACTTACCTAGTGTGAACTTAAAATAAAGGTAAAATGCTGCCTGAAAATAATGTCCGAGCACCTTTGACTAGGATAACATTTTCACTACTTGTGTGACACTGTGTGTTGCACGAAGTAGGATTTGGGTATACAGTAAATGCTTCTAAAAGGCATTGTGCATATTGACATAACCAATAATCTGAACCGTGTTCAGCAAACTTAATTCAGGAAAGTGGTATTCTACACAATTATTGCTGTTGTGTTTGAAATGAGTGTGGCACTCATCTGTACCCAGAAATAATATGGGTGAGACCACACAACCCATTGTGAGTGGTGTCTGTCTGAGAGCAACGCTACTCACCTGTGAAATTGTTCTCCTTGATTTGGTTGGTCACTATAAAGCAAGTTTAAACATAGAGGCTAACTCAGTGCCAAAACTAGGGTTACAGATGTGTAATACCTTTTATTTTAGTCATATTCTAAGACTTTTTTTTAGTATGAAATCACTTTTAAATTATACATGTAGGTTTTGCTTCCATTTTCATCATTTTACCATTTATTTGAACATTCGCCAAATTTTACTCCATTTATTTAAATGAGATCTTAGGTGAGATGTGTGTGACACTTTGAATTTGACCTTCTTGTGTTATTAGCTGACTATTTGTCATTGCCTCATGGATTTTAAATTATGGGAAAATAGTGTAGCCAGCTGCCACCTCTACTGAAGTGAATAGCTCTGAACTACCCACACTAAATCCTTCAGTGTAATTAATTATGAGTTTAAAAATAGCAGTTTTCTTATGTGAAGAGGACAATTTGTCCCCTTTTTTTTAATCACCAATGTTGCATTCAGAGCTGTAGAATGAGATAATTGGCAGACTTTAGGTACAGCAAATTCTTACTTATCTAAAGCAATAAGTCAAAGGAGCCCATCATTAAATTAAGTCCATAGATCACAAGCCTTCATGTTAGCCAAAACTTTCTCTTTAACCAAATCTTTTACCAGACTTGCTAATAAATAACCAGAGAGGTGTGTTAATAAGTGAAATTGCCAGAAATGGTCAACTGATCAAAAAAAAAAAAAAAAGGATTCAGATTGGAGTATTTTGCCCCTGAATAATTGACAGTTGACTGTACTTTACACAGTAAGTAGCCAGTCTGTTGTCTCTGTGTCTTAGTCCAGAGGGAATAGTACCTAACTGGCCAAATACTGGCTCTTGGTATTTCCTTCTTTCTTGCATGTGATACAGACGTTTTCAGTCTTGTTTTTATGATCTCTCTATATATCCTGATAAGAGTTTGTCACTGACCTACACATTTGGAAGAAATGCACACCAGTATACAATATTTGATACTGGTGGAAACTTGACCTTTGTGTTTTTATGAAAATTCATTTATGAGAATATGTAATATAACTGAAGAGTATTTTATATATATCTATATATACACAAATATGTATTTGTTATGAGGTATTAAAAACAGGGGTTGGGGGAGTGCTTCTGATGGCTAACTTTTCTCTAATTGAACTATGTTTCTTTGAGTTGTGAACGACCAAGTCTGGGGTCTGGACAGCCAATGATAAGATTTAGAACCACTTGGATGGAAAGCGATTCTTCACTGGTTTTATTCTTGGTATTTTAAAAGAATTATTTTGATATTTTTAATAGAATGTGTAATTTTAAAGTACACAAAAAACTTAAAGTAGTATTGATTATACAAATAATTATTTAACATGTCTTATGGATGTATCTATATGTATATAGACAGTAATATATTTATAAAACAAATATACTTTGCTTATGTTATAGCTCTTGTTTGTGACAGGTGGGAGGATGGCTCTAGGGGTGTGTGTGTGTTTGTGTGTGTGTGTGTGTGTGTGTGTTGAAAACTCAAGCTGTTTTCCTCTGATTTACAATGGTATTTACTTTAAAGTATATTTGGTTTTCGTTATTCTTTTTGCTATTCAGCTTCCTTATTCAAGATAAGATAAGTTGTACGGTTTTCTGGCCATTCTGTTGGTGTGTGGTGCATCCATTTTATTGTCATATAACTCCTGGAGAATTCTCAAGTGACCTGAAATCAAACAGGTTCTGGTTGGACATATACTTATGTTCCAAATATATTAAAGATGGTAATTCAGCTAACATGTTAAGTTTCCAAGGTATACACTGACAAATAAAATGAGGTATTAAAAAGAGATGGATTACACACATGCCTTAGAATAAGAGAAAACAGAGCGTTAATAAAAGTAAAAAAACATACACTATCTTAGCCCCCTAGGGCAGGGGCGGATTTTTTCTGTAAAGGATCAGATAGTAAATAATACACAAATCATATGGGCTTAAAATACCATTGTAAAAACTACTCATCTCTGGCTTTAGAGCATAAGAACAGCCACAGATAACATGTAAATGAGTGTGGCTGTGTTCCAATAAAACTTTATTTACAGAAACAGGAAGCAGGTCAGATTTGGCCTGTGGGCCATAGTTTGCTGATCTCAAGCAGTAAATCCTAGTATATGTTAACAGAAGAAATCATAATTGCATTTCAGTTGACATTCAAAGAAAATCTGGTAGTTTTTGATATCCTTCAAAAGAGGATTGTTAGACATTCATATTAAAGCATCTTAATTCATTTGAGTTTTTTACCTGTTTACACCTGTTATTTATTAGATATTTCTTGTGCTTAACCACAAAAGCATTCTGTTAAAATGTTTTAATATGTATTGAAATTTTTCATGAACTTTTCATTTCTATTGATAAATGGGAATCCCTTACCAACCTTTTTTTTTTTAATAGCCTCATGGACGAAAAAAATCTGTTGCAGCATTTAATTAGCCACAAATACATTTTGGCTGCATTTACCAGTTACATTTTTCTGTTGGTTTTGGCTTCTAATAAATGATATATCTGCCATTCTTTAAAAATGGTTTTAAAGAAGATAAATATATTGTAATTTCACATGCTATAGCTTTATTCTGTAAGGTTAAAACTTGTGACTAGTATAATTGTAGCTATAATGTGAGTGGCATGTTACAATGTAACTCTTTATAAGAAATAAAATGTATCTCTGCTTTGTCTGTCCAGATCTTTAGGTTTTTTAGATGCTTTGGGACTGTCCCTGGTGAATGATATTCTTCATATGATCATGTGTAATTCTGAGTTCGTTGGAAGTACACGCTGCTGAGCATGTTCATTCACAGTGCTTTATACCGGCTGTTGCATCGATAACATCATTTTCATAAGAACATTTAAACAGCATGAACATCATTATCCACTTCAATAGTTAAACTTTCTTTTAAAATTGGAATGCAACTCTGGGTTTTAACAATGTTTATTGTTTTTTTAAGTGGTTACTTTGTTTTTCCTTAATACTTTCTGTTAACTTGCTTATTAACTCCTGTTGCAGTGTTAACTGTTATATGTTAGAAAGTGGCTTTTCCCCTAAGATTCTTAGTCTTTTAGATTTAAAGACAATTTAAGGTTTTGGCCATTTGGCAGTAGAAAATGTGCATGTTTTAACTTAGCTTTATAAAATCCCTAACGTTTTACTTCTTGAACCATATACCAAATTTGCCAATTTTCTGTCCAAGTATTTCAGATGAATAACAAAATGTTGTTCATTAAAGCTTTCGCCACCTTTCTTAAAGCAGCTTATGTTCCAAGGGAAGAAGGCATCGAAAAGCAAACGTTTCTTTTTATGAAGAATACGTGTTCGAATTCCTTCAGTTTTTTTGAAATTAGAAATGTCTTATGTGAAATATTCACAAACATACAGACTTCTGCAGAGACAAAGCATTTCATTGCAAGTGAACCAGGTTATTGATTTTATCTTTTCCTTTCAGGGTTTTTTCTCCCAAACCAGAGTTGTATGCTGCTAGTAGAATTTTTTATTTGATCCTGCAAACTTTTCTTATAGGAAAAGTAAGGCAAAAGATGTTCAGTGCAACCATCTGATAAACTGATGTGATTGTATTTATCCTCTGTTCTGTGTATTTCTGTAATGGAATCTTTATAATTCCCAAAGCAGTATTTTAGATCTACTGGAAATCTATATCAAAACAGCTATGTGATTCTGCCACTGAGAAAAACATTTAAAAATTCTTTTTTCTTCTGCTGGTTTTTCTTTAATGAAGAAATTGATCTCATATGGCACCATAGATGCTAAATAAATAAAAGCATCATACTTCTCTACTTTGCCTGCATTCAGAGCTTAACATTGTGAGCATTGTGTAAGATAAACACATGGTCAGTATCAATGTAAATGTTAGAGCCATAATTAATTTCTATGAAAATTGAAATTAAATGTCAAAGACAACTAGACATAACTTAAGGCATGATGAGAGTGGTTTTTTTTTTTTCCTGAACCCGTCATTATAGTGTTGGTTCCCGGTGCTTTTGAAATATCATCAGGTGTCTGGCTAGGAGTATTGTTGGTAGGGACCTCGTCCAGGGAGTTTGTAAGATAATGCTAGATGGCACGACATCCTCTTTTCTGATTATGAGGGCTGCCAATTGATTTAAAATGTATTGAAAGGGCCGAGTGCAGTGACTCATGCCTGTAATCCCAGCACTTTGGGAGGCGAAGGCAGGCGGATCACTTGAGGTCAAAAGTTCGAGACCAGCCTGGCCAACATGGTGAAATCCCATCTCTACTAAAAATACAAAAAGAAAAATTAGCTGGGCTTCATGGCACATGCCTGTAATCCCAGCTACTCAGAAGGCTGAGGCAGGAGAAGGTTGCAGTGAGCCAAGATCGTGCCACTGCACTCCAGCCTGGGTGACAGAGCGAGACTTCGTCTCAAAAAAAAAAATGTATCAAAAAGACTCATGTTGGTGCAGTGGTATTTACTAGGATGTGCAAAACTTTGAGCACTGATGTCCATGACACCCTGACAGGTAGTGGGGCACAGAGAACGAGGGTACACACATCCCCCCTTCAAGGAGTTCAACTTCTTTAGCTGGCCTGGAATGTGCAGGGTCACGTAGCCAACAGGAATAAGGATTTTGTTTGTAAAAATAAATTGAATAGATTTGAATGAACAGAAATGGAAATTTTTATCTCTTTAATAGTCGAGGCTGGAAAAGTTAGATCACTGTGGGGAAAGGCTCTGCTTCTGTGAAATTCCTGCACAGATTGGGAGAGATTGCAGACAGCTGTCAGGAACTCCAGGGCTGTGTTTGAATCTCAGTCCTGCACATATTACTATGGTAACTATATATATGAGACACACAATATGTAAAATTTGGGCAAATTCTCTTTCAGAGTCTTTTTCATGCACAGCTGTGAAATGATCAGAATGCCCATCTCACAGGCTTATTGTCACTAGCTACATGGTGGTGATGACAGTGGGCGTAAGGATAACTCAAGGACAGATGCAAACAAATACAATGCCGTATCCACCCTGTTCTTGCTGAAGTAAAACAGCAATCTTCGCTGTATCCCAACTATTCTTGACAGCAGCGTCTTCCTGACCCAATTGTCCTAATAATTTTCTATTAATGAGATACTGTTTCTGATGCAGTCACCGTATTGTCATGATCTTCATGATGTAGCATGTGGACGTTCTATGTCACTGCGTGACAAGCCACTACTTCAGAGAGCAGGTTTCTCCTCCTACATTGCTTTTTGGACCTTTGCTTTTCTTATTGTTCTCTAAAATTGCCATTTGCATTGTTAAGTATTCTTTTCTCCCCCTACTCGATTACTGTAAGCTGTGTAAGTGCCAGCTTGTGGATTTAGACCATTTATTTTGGCTCTGTCAGCAGATTTGATTATTGATGTTTGATTGTTGGCAGAGGAGTCAGCATATTCAAAATAAGCATTAGGTGTGAGTTCCCCAGGTACTTCCACAGGCTGAGCCAAGAATCCAGGAGAACATTCTATCAGGCAACAGTGTTACCTGGGGTAAGGACTATTTCTTCTCCACCTATACCATTGGGTGAGAAGAATGGGTTAATACTCATTGATGAATGAAGTGGCATGTGAGAAGGGGAGTTTGGTAAAAAGCAACTGTGATAGTGAATTTATTCAAAACAAAATGCCTGCAGTTGGGTCTCTCATTAGTTGAACATCCTTATTTGTTAGGCTTTGCACCTCAGCCTCTGTTGCTGTTTTAGAGTTAATGGGTTTCATTTTTGTGTTTTTAAAGGATTTTTAATTTTTTTAACATTTTAAAGGTTTCCTTTTTTAAAGATTTTTAAAATAACCTTTTAAAAAATGTATTTCTCTCTAGGCGCAGTCATCAGCCTTGGGTTAAGAGTACACACCCCAGCTCCACACATCATACATGTAGCAGATTGGCAAATTTCTAAACAGAGTAATAATTGCCCCCATCTCCAAGGGTTGTTAAGACTAAATGAGTTGAAACAAGTAAAACCTTTTGAACATGCAAATCCATAGTGTGTGTTCAGTAAGTGACAGCCATTATTATGTAAATAACTAGGGGTATTTAAATGCATAGTAATTTTGAGACGTTCTCAATGGAGCCTTCCCTGTCTCTATAGTTATGCTGTGGAAGATTGTGAATTCTAACAATCAATGTAATTTGATATATTCAATGGTGAGGTCTATTTCAGAAGTGGTATTTTAACCTTCGAAGAGTTCTTAGAACCCATTTCCTTGCTACTCCCATCACTCAGCTCTTCTTGGTTTAAGGGTTTTTCTCTGCATCTGCATTGTAATAGGGAAAGTGGAATAACAAATGATGATTACAAAAGGGTTTCAGAATCTCACAGTTAAGCAGTTTCCGACTGCATCACTAACATCCCCTGCACTCCACTTTTACTCCTGAAGGTGGCGCTCCGCAAACCTGTCTGCACCTCTTCCCCACCGCACACACCCTTCACCTAAGGGAAGAGGAATGTCGGTCCCTTCCCATAAGAACCTACAGAGCCAACCTGGACAGAGCAATAGCTGCTGTGTGGTCTCAGGTGTACGATGTACATCTTGGGGGAGATGTCAGATGACATTGGGCAACTGTTTTTCCCTTAAGCATTCCCTTCTAGTTTACAACTGCTACTTTCAAAGTTGGAGAGATGAGGCTAGCAAGAAGAGTACGCACATCTGAGGGTCCCGTACTATATATTTACACAAATTAAAATTCTATGAAACAAGCATTATCCCTGTTTTAGAAATGAGGAAACTAAAACTCAAAAAGCTAAAAGCACTTGCTCAAAGACAACCTCATGATTCAATTCCCACTGTGCACGCTTTCAGAATTCTTTTTCCCACTTCAGTGTGCTGCAAGGCAGGGCTAGGAACGGGCCCTTTGTCATCTTTGGTATGAGTTATTCTACACAAACTTAGGTCTGAGGAATGAAACCAGTTATGCTATAAGTGCACATCCTTGAACATGCTATAACTTTACCTGGGAACAGGGAGAGACTAGGAAAAATATAAACTAGGGCTGTATTTTTACTTCATCCATGGACCCACACACCTTCATCACTCTGCTTTCATGTACAAACACCTGCGACAAAGATGTCACTTGGATTAGAGGGAAAGGTTTCACTGAGATCTTCCTGTCTTGAGGCTTCTGGTGATGGGCTTGGGTTGGGACTCAAGCCAGCTGACCAGGGCTCAGTGCTCAAGGCCCTGGAAAAATCCAGGGTCCGCTGCCTCTGATAAGCAAGAGTGGTAGGTTCTATGTCCAAAGGAGGTTATTTCAGAGTCTGGACTCTTGTCTCCACTGTAGCATTCTTTGTAGCCCCGGAGAGGAAAAGGCAGTACATTTATTTCTAATGTTTCCAATCATGCTCAGGGACCTTCTAGGGTGTTTTTAGAGAAGGCCTATTTAGCTTTCAGACTCTTGACAATGCCCACTGCAAACACAACACCTTTTATGCTGAAGCAGCTGCCACTGGCATTTCCCTGTGCTTTCTATTTTGCACAAATTCACCATGAGATTAAAAATAGGAAAGTTTAATTAGGTAACCAAACAGATTCCCTTCCTAGTTCCCTAGGAGAACTCAGTGAGGAACACAGCACTGAAAGAATGGCAAGTATAGTGTTTAAATGCACTTCCTGCTCTTGTCCAGAGGTCTGGGTGGGTGGGTGTCAGTGTACAGAGGGTCCCCCTTCAGCCCCTGGGGTGGGGGTGGGGGCCTGCCCGAGGCGAGGCTTTCTGTCTCAGCCTTCAAAGCCCTCTCCCCCCTGCTCTCCACTTTCCAAGGATGTAATTATCATTCATTTGAATAATTCTTTCAAATATGCATGTGAAAAGATTAAGGGAGATGGCAAATACAATTTGGTAACTACATGAAAAGCTATTCAATAAACTCTGGAGGAGATTTATGGGTTTGCTCTGTATGTTGCCAAATTAACAAGACAAGGACAAAGCACATTGTGCCATAGTGAATGCAATACACGTTGAAACCCTGCAAATTAGACAAGGAGGACTGGAGCAAGATCCCTGTTCTAGTCCAAGCTCAACTTCATTGCCTACATTGAAGGGAGGTGGGAAGCAGTGAGAGAGGCGGGAGTAGGGACTACAGGAGGCCCCTGGGCCAAGGCGGGTGTGGGTGAGGGCGCACCAGCGCCAGCCATTTTTTCTTTTTCTTTTTTCTTTTCTTTTTTTTTTTTTTTTTTTTTTTTTTAGAGGCAGAGTCTCACTCTGTTGCCCAGGCTGGAATGAAGTGGCGCGACCTCAGCCCACTGCACCCTCTGCCTCCCAGGTTCAAGCAAGTAACTGGGACCACAGGTGCATGCCACCACACCCAGCCAATTTTTGTATTTTTAGTAGAGATGGGGTTTCACCATGTTGGCCAGATGAGTCTCAAACTCCTGACATCAAGTGATCTATCTGCCTCAGCCTCCCAAGGGACTGAGATTACAGGCGTGAGCCACCGTGTCCGGCCTAGCACCAGCTTTCACGAACCCCAGAGCCCATCCAGGCAGTACCCCCCTGGCTCCTACCTTCCACACTCCATCATCTCCTGGCTCTGAGTCATCCAAAAAGGTAAACATTCTCAACTCTGCCTTCTGCTCCCCACAGCCACGCGGTGCCTGGGGACATGGCGATCACCCTGTTAGCAGTGACTGTAGGCAGATGGGGAAAGAGGAAGATGGCAACTGACTTTAAAAGATCCTCCTCCATCTCTCTCACAACTTAACATACAGACTTGTGATACCGCTTTCCAGATTGGTAGCAGGAAATGCCAAATGGTGAGAGGGGTGGCACAGGAA